GTTCCTCATGTTGTGGTGACCCCCAACCATAAAATTACTTTCGTTGCTCCTTCATAAGTGTGATTTTGCTACTGTTCGGAATCGTCACGTAAATGTCTGATCTGCAGGATGTATTTTCATTGTTCGCGACCCACAGGTTGAGAACCGCTGCACGGGAAGCATCCATTTCTTCTCCTTTTCCAGCTCCTGTTGGTGCCCACAGTCCTTGGCTCACGGTCCCGTCCGCCATCTTCAGTGCCACCAGCAGTGGCAGGTGAAATCCTACTGACAGTCGCACCAACCTCCTCCAGCCTCCTCTTGCCCACACAAGTCCCTGTGACCACACTGGCCAGCTGACGGGCACCCTTAGTTCCCTCTGCCACCTAAGAGAACAGACGCACCATTCTGGGGGTCAGGACATGGCCGTCTTTGGGCGCCAGCAGTCTGACCACCACACAGCACAGCAGCTTCCCTAGTTGAGGTGAAACACCCCGAGTCCCCTAGCAGCCAGGCCTCCCCCAGGAAGCAGCTCACCAGCTCAGGCCCTCACCTCCTTCTCCAGCTCCAGGTCAACCAAATTTTCCTGCATCTTCTCCTGACGGCTCAGCTTCCGTTGCAGCCCCTCCACTTCTTCCCTGAGCAGCCCGTTGGTCTCTCGCATCTCCCTGAGGGGGCAGAAATAGTCACTCACACAGCCATGTAGCCTGGGGACGAGTCCAGGAGCCCCAGGAGCACTGGGCTGCACACTGGAACCCCTGAGAGCTAACCCATGGAGGCTACCACCCACTGCCCGCCCCACCGCCTGCGCCCACCCCACCGCCTGTGCCCATCTCACTGCCTGCACGCGACTCACCGCAGGTAGGCATTCTCCTCCTTCAGCTGCTTCAGCTCCCGCTCCATCTTGGGCAACCGCACCAGCTCAGACTTCATGTTCTTCACAATCGCAGAATCCTGCTCCTGCAGGAACAGCTTCTGCTCCAAATCCTGGTTGAGGCCAGGGACAGAGAGGAGAAAGTCATGGACGCCATACTGCCCAGGTCTTCAGCGACCTCCGTGACCCAGTCCCCCTCTCCGGAAAGCCTCCCTGCCTGCCCCCGGTGTGCCTCTGTGCTGGTGCTTCGCGTTCACCCCCAGGGCGGTGCCCACAGTGGAGCACGGGCCAGTGTCATGCTACTGTGCTGGGCTGTGCTGCCCTCAGAGGCAGGAGCCTAAGACATGTCTGGCCCAAGGACACTCAGCAAAGGCTCCCTGAACAAACACCAATAAAACATCCCACTCCTCCCGTGCGAGGTCTGCTTCCGTTGATGCAACACACATGTAACACACATGTAACACACATGTGACCACTGAGTCTTTTCCATAGGGAGGACAGCCTTTTTACAATCTCTAGTTCCCCCAGGACACAATGGAGACAGCTGGCATCCATTAGTGACAAGTCACAAAACAAACTAACAGTATGAGACCAGGACCAAATCAGTCAGTCATTCAACAAACACCTCCACTAAGGGGGCCCATCCCTGTGCCAGGCACCGAGTCACACAGTGGGGCCAGGCGACGCAGGTGAGGCCTCTGCAAGGAGAGCCTGGAGGCTGGCAGAAAGGACAGGCATCAGGCAGGTAAACCCTGAGAAGTGGGCCCCGGGCTGCAGCAGAATGAGGGCAGGAAAGAGGTAGTGGGGCCCTGGCCAGTCTGGCTGAGTGGATAGAGCGTCGGCCTGTGGACTGAAGGGTCCCAGGTTCGATTCCGGTCAAGGGCACATGCCCGGGTTGTGGGCTCAATCCCCAGTAGGGGGCGTGTAGGAGGCAGCCGATCGATGATTCTCTCTCATCATTGATGTTTCGCTCTCTCTCCCTTCTTCTCTGAAATCAATAAAAATATATTAAAAAAAAAAAAAGAGGCAGTGGGGATGTATGAAGTGGTGAGGGTGGGGAGAAGGCTGGGGGAGACAGGTAAGCACAGTGGCCACAGAGAACAGCCTGTGAAAGACCAGAGGCGAGAGAGAGCAGGGCGTCTAGGAACTGATGGGGCGGAACAGCTGGAGAGGGAAGCAGACAGGACGGAGCAGGGAGGCAGCCCATGAGGCGGGGCACAGAGTGTGGGTGTCACTCAAGGCGGCGGCGGCCACCCAGGGGCCTGCAGTCACTGTCTGCCTGGCAGGGCCTCCCTCGTGCAGCAGCACAGCCGAACGTCAGAGCCAGGCGCCCTGCACTGAGACCCATCACACACGAGCCGGACGACCTCTCCCCGCGACCTATCACTTCCCAGCTCACACCACCTGAACTATCGCATGTTCACTCTCTTCCTGTGACTTCATCCTGGGAGCAGAATCTGTCTCTATTCCCTGTGGATCCTACCAGCTAGCACAGCCCAGCACACGAGAAGACGGTCAGTGTAAATGGCACCGTGGGCGCAGCAGCCACTGTCCCCATATGCCCAGCCCAGTTCAGAAACACCTACAGGGGGAAAAAGGGCTGAAACCACCACTGGGACACCTACCACACAGTCCAGGGACTGAAACGGAACAACTCACCTTGATTTTCTGCTCCTGCTCTGCCCTGGCTTCTTGGCCAGCCTGGAGTTCCTGAATCTTCTGATTAGCTTCCTGCCATTTTCTATGAAGAGAAAACTGGATCACATGCAGAATGTAGTATGTGATGAGGCCAACAATCCCCTTATCCTAAAGCTCTCGAGTGCAGACACACGTGCACACACTCACACATATGCATGCACACATACTCGTGTGCACATGCACTCACACACATGCACACACATACATGTACACACATACTGCCCACTCCCCTCAGGGACAGCCCGAGTCTGGATGCGAACCCCTGCCAGTGCCTCGGGGGCCCGTCTCCTCAGGACAGGCTGGGTGGGGAGGCCAGACCACCAGCCAGAGGCCAGAGAGAGCAGGGAGTCTAGGAACTGATGGGGCGGAACAATATGACATTTCATATGGAAACAGTGCCCCGCCTCGTTTCCACGTGAGGATGCTATGAAGACCTGGCAGGGACCTCCGGCTGCAGCACCCCATTCTCCAGCCCCACATCTGCTCACACTGCAGCTCTGGCTGCTGGCCCAGCACAGCCACAGCAGAGACCCACTCCTGACGGATCATGACTCCGCCAAGTGGCCAGAACTCCCCCTCGGCAACATCTGCGAAGACAAAGGCCAAAGTCCTCAGGAGCCTTCAGGCCTCTGACCTCAGCTCCGCGAGTGGGTTTTCCCTCTCCGTGCCTTTGCTCAGAATGCGGTCTTCTGGAATGTCCTTTTCCGCCCGCAGATGGCCACCGTGGCCTTTAAAACTGAGCTCCAGCCTGGCTGGCGTGGCTCAGTGGCTGAGCATCGACCTATGAACCAGGAGGTCAGGTCTCGATCCCAGGTCAGGGCACATGCCCAGGTTGTGGGCTTGATCCCCAGTAGAAGGCGTGCAGGAGACAGCCAATCAATGATTCTCTCTCATTATTGATGTTTCTGCCCCCCCCCCCCCCCCTCCCTTCCTCTCTGAAATCAATAAAAATATATTAAGAAAAAAAAAAAAGCTCCAATGCAATGTCTTCTCCAAAGCTCCCTCCCTGGCTGCTCCCTCCTCGTTCTCAGGACGTTTAAAATGACACTCTGTTCTGACACCATGTACGGTCCTGGCCTCAGAGGCCTCAGGCCTGTCCCCAGAGCCTGGGGTGGGGAGCACTGAAGGGCACCTGTGGAGCCTCAGGGCTCTGGGACACACAACATTCGTGGAGGCCGGTGCGCACCCGCAGGGGGGGCAGGACAAGCCTGTGTCTGCCACAGTTAACGGGGATACGGCTCAGCCCATGCCCACAGCTGCAGGTGCGCAGGCTCCACACTCACCTGAGCTGCAGATCCAGCTGCTCCTGCAGCTCCTGCTTCTCGGACTCCAGGCCCTTCACCTGCATCTCCTGGTTCATGACACTCCACTGCAGCTCCGAGATCCTGCCCTTTAACTCGCTGATGGTCTAAAAGCAGAGCAGAACCCACAGCGCCCACTGAGGCCGCCGGCCGCGGATGCACGGGAGCCGCCCAGAGAAGAGGACCAAGGCCTCACAGGAGCCTGGCCCTCCATCCCACTCCCGAGGCAGGGACAGAGCCATCTGCCCCTCAGAGGACAGGACCAGATGCCCCGAGCACCAGCCAAGCCAACCTTGAGTCTCCCATGAGCCCACAGGAGAGGCTGGGTCACGTGACAACAGTCTCAGGAGCAAGAACTGCTGCTGGCCAAGACGGGCCCCAGCCTCACACCCCCATGACAGCCCTTCCCATGAAGCATCCACACACCCACATCCCATCACCTCGGACCCTCCCGTCCCGGGCGTGCTCCGCACAGCCCTCCCTGCACACCTTGCTCCCGCTTCCCCGCCTGGAGCTCCTTCCCTAACCCACCGAGCCACCTCCCACGGTGCTGAAGATGCCACTGGAAGCCACAGCCAGGCGCCCCCAAGAAGCCGGACAAGGGGGACTGAGGCTGTCCTCAGAATGACACCACAAACGTCACACAGAATGGGGGAGCCGGCAGAATGCCATGGCGATTGGAGCGCTCAGGCCAGCAGTGCCAGCCACAGCAGCCCCTGGGAGCCAGACGTCAACCCGAGGGACCCTACAAGCAGGGCAAGAAAGGGACTGACAGCTCAGCACGGAGGGTGACACCTGGCAGACCCTGGGGCACCCTGCAGACAAGGAGGCCACCGCACTCATTCCCCAGGCACCGGGACCACTTAAAGGGTCAGCAGCACCACCCCACGTCCGTCCAGGAGGCTGACGGGGCGACCCAGGCCAGCGGCCCCCGCTCCACTGATCTCCATGGTTTGCTCTTACAACAGCGACTACCAATCTGGGAACCACACAGAATGAAGGCACTAAAATACTAAACAAGGAGCACACCCTCTGAGAAGCCTGCCTGCACTCCATGAACGGGCGTGGCCCGGCACCGTGGGCACCAGGGTCAGGAGGTGGTGTGGCGAGCCAGGCCCCCAGGAGCTGCCTGGAGAGTGGCGAGCACAGGACCCAGGACACCGAGACGAGAGAAGGCAGTGGGGTGGTGCGGTTGTGACTTTGCCTCGAGTGACTGGGAAGGCTCCTCAGAGGTGAAGAGGAAGAGAAGTGACCTGCGTGGTCCTGGGTCCCCACTGGCCACGCCCTTTCCCACGCTGGGCCCCCTGTGGCACCCACCTCGCACCTTCTGTGGTAGGGTCTCCCCCTCTTGCCCTTCCCTGAAGAGTGTGCAGGACTTGCTCCCCGGAGACCCCCACACCTGCCTCCAGACCCAGCAGGAGGGGGAGGGAGAGCACAGGTAAGCACAGCAGGGGCGGGAGGAGATCCTTCCTGAGGCAGAGCCCTTCCTCTCCTGCCAACATCCGTGTCCGAAGACACATGTGCAAACACCCTAACATGTTCTCCAGTGTCGCCAGGGCAAGAATAGCCCGGGCCTGCTTCCCAAGCTGCCACGCAGAGCACCCGTGCTCCATGCCACCTCCCTGCCTCCCCCCTCCCCCCGCATTTCCTCTCCTTCCTCGCAGCCTGTGATCCCGAGCAGCACAGCGAAGGGACCGGAAATGTCAGAAGAGTCCAATTTCCACCAGCATCAACGTTTGGGCTGTTTCTAAAATGGAGACAGCCTCCACTTGATGGAGACGAAAGGACACTACAGTTCACTGACGCTCTGGTTTCAAAGGTGCTCTCAGATGCCAACAGATACGCATGCTGACACACACACGCACACACAAGCACACACTGACACACACATGCTGACACACACAAGCACACACTGACACACACGCGCGCACACTGACACACACATGCTGACACACACACGCACACACACACACTGACACACACACATGCTGACACACACACTGACACACACATGCTGACACACACACACTGACACACACACGCACGCACACGCTGACACACACGCGCGCGCGCACACAAGCACACACTGACACACACGAGCACACACTGACACACACACATGCTGACACACACGCGCGCGCACACAAGCACACACTGACACACACGAGCACACACTGACACACACACATGCTGACACACACGCGCGCGCACACAAGCACACACTGACACACACGAGCACACACTGACACACACACATGCTGACACACACGCGCGCGCACACAAGCACACACTGACACACACGAGCACACACTGACACACACACATGCTGACACACACGCGCGCGCACACAAGCACACACTGACACACACATGCTGACACATACACGCACGCACACACGCTGACAAACACCCGCTGACACACACACACTGACAATCAAAGAAATGCAAATCCAGAGGCAACTACCTACACCTTCTGGGTGCCTCCCCCCTCCCCCCGCATTTCCTCTCCTTCCTCGCAGCCTGTGATCCCGAGCAGCACAGCGAAGGGACCGGAAATGTCAGAAGAGTCCAATTTCCACCAGCATCAACGTTTGGGCTGTTTCTAAAATGGAGACAGCCTCCACTTGATGGAGACGAAAGGACACTACAGTTCACTGACGCTCTGGTTTCAAAGGTGCTCTCAGATGCCAACAGATACGCATGCTGACACACACACGCACACACAAGCACACACTGACACACACATGCTGACACACACACACTGACACACACACGCACGCACACGCTGACACACACGCGCGCGCGCACACAAGCACACACTGACACACACGAGCACACACTGACACACACACATGCTGACACACACGCACGCACACACTGACACACACATGCTGACACACACACACGCACGCACATGCTGACACACGCGCGCGCGCACAAGCACACACTGACACACACGAGCACACACTGACACACACATGCTGACAACACGCGCGC